AAAAACTGGAGTAAGCGTTTTAAAATGGGGTTTGAATTACAATATGGCAAACAGTGAACAGAAGTTACACCATAGGCAAGTGTAATAAATGGTGAACAGAAGTTACAATACTGAAACAGTGCAAGTCTCAGTGATTTAAGCAGGAATTGGATTGATAGTGAAACTTACAAAGGCAGCTGACTGAACAGCTATGGCTCTTAACAAGCACCTTAACTGTTAATTAGCCAGTTATTGGGGTAACTGGTTTTATGAATGAATATTGTTTCATTCATAAAACTTTACTTATGAAGTTACATTAATAAAGTGAACAATTACAAACAATTTCATTCATCAGTTCTACACCCCATCACTGTAGTACGGGTACATCTCACAATCTTCGGGTGGATTTATCTTCCCAACGCCCCTGTGTATCTAACCTGAATTCTCCCCTGAGGAAAAACTGCCCCTGAGCCGGCTGGAGAACAGCCGTTCTGCCTCCAAACTGCACCAGAGAACCTCTGTACCCGCTCATGTTCACTCCACCCATGTCCTCGCCCTCGCGTCCCGCTCCGCCAGTGGGTGGCAGGGCCTGCTGCCCCCTGAGAGCGTGAGGAATCCCTGGGGACCAGCCAGTACTGCCGTCCGGCCCCACTGCCAGCCGGGGATACTAGCTGGCGGCTCCTCCCTGGACCCATAAGCAGGGGTGTGTATCCGGCGCATCCTCCTCCAGCACCTGTCCCTTTTGTGGAGAGAGAGAGACCCAGGCACACGTCTGTGTCCTTGCAGCCCCTCTTCCGGCTCCTCCAGAATCTCTGACTACATTTCTCATCACACCTCTGATCTGTGCACTCACCCCAGCCGCCCCGCAAAACCGCAAGATCCCCTCCTCAACCACCTCCTGGCGCTGGCCCGACAACCATCCATCACTCCAGGAGCAGAAAGCTGGACTGGGTTTGCTCTGTGACTGTGGGGCCTATTTCCAGTCCCTTGTCTGCTCCCGTCTCCGGGCAGAGTTCCTCTGGGCAGCGCCCACTGACTCCTGGATGCCTTCGAGGAGCGGTGGGGGCTCTCGGGGGTTCTCTGCTCAGTGTCCCCCTCCGGTTCCTTGATTTTCCACCTTAGACTGGGCTCCTGTTCCTGTTTTCTCCTCTGTTGTCCCTCACAATCAATTGGCGCCTGGACTTAATGGTTCCTCCCCCTTTGTCGAGGGACAGGGCCTTTAGTTTTGGGCAGGCCCAGTCCGGCCTGTACTAATATTTCCCAGAGCACAAGAACCCTCAGTGAGTGACTCCCACTGGCATCAGCTCCGTTTACCCTGCCCAGGAGAGCGAGGGGCAGCTCTTCTGCGCTGCCTTTTCTCGGCCCCCCCAAAAGGGGACGGACCCCATATGGAAGGAGTTGAATTCCCCAGATGTTTCATACTTTGATTCCCCTGGGGTGGCCATTTAGGGTGGATGGCGGGGGGCACCTGTCCCCCCCCCCCAGTTTTGTACCACCAGGCAGGAGCAACCCCCCCCATCATTTGCTCCTTTTCCCCCCCTCACAGACTCTGAGTTGCCCCCTCCCCAAAATCTGAAATGGTGCCCCTGGAGCCTCCCCACCACACCGAGCCTGTCCCTCACTGCCTTGAACATGCCCCTCCCCATTAGCCTCTCCCACCTCCCCCCCACATTCTGCCTTTCTGCTCATCATGCAGGCCAGCAGTTTCCTGCCTTTTCAGGCTGGCAACCCCCCCTTCAAAATAAAAAATGCCCCAACCCCCTGAGGTTTACTATCGAAGTCAGAGTAAACCTTATATCAGTGCTAACGACGCCATGTGCCTACATCCCAGCTACAGCAACGACATCGGATCTTGCCAGCTCCCCAGGGTTTGGCCATCCCAGTTTTCTTCTGGGAATTGTCTGTTCTTCGCCTAAGATTGTAATAAAATTTGCAACACCTCACGACCTCCCCTTATGTGACCTCCAGCAACTTGCCGGGCGACAAACACGGGGGGTAGACCAGGCAAGGTCTCAGCTTCCTGCGTTGGGGGCTATCGGCCGCCACTGTGGTAGGACCGGAACAGCCTGTGGGCTGATGGAACAGGGCTGAGCTGTTGGGCTGGCTGGTTTCTGAACCAGGGACGCAATCCAGAGCTGCTGGGTTCAAACGGCCACCTGCCAGTGCACCAAATCCCAAGGGAGAAACAGCCCAGAGGAGCGTGAAACGCAGGAGGTGTGGGAACAGGCCGGCAAAGGGCTGAGGCCTGTCTGCTCCCATGAGCAGCCCAGACAGACTGTGCAGGGCACACAGTGCATGTCTCTATTTATATGGCCACATGACTGGTTTCATGCAGGTCAGCACAGGAGGGGGGGTTCAGGAGCAGGACCCAGAGAGGAGGGGAGGGGAGCTGGTAGCTCATAACCAGAGCCTCCAGCGACATGAAAATTCTCTTACTTTTCTGCTTGAATGTAGCGCTACTGAAGGGGGGCGAGAAGGGGAGCTGTGAGGCGAGAGACGATACGGAGCCTAAACCCTGCAGCTGGTGAGTAGGGGTGAGGGATTACGGGCGGGGGAGGAACTCTGCATCCCCCCTCCCATGAGTTAGGGGTTGGGGGAGGGGGAAGAGAGGAGCAGGAATCCCCCCCCCCCACAGCGAGATAGGGGTTGGGGTGGAGGAGAGGGTGGCAGTAGCAGGGCAAAGCCCCGAAGGATGGGAGGAAGAATTTCTCCCCTGCTCTGGGATCTCCATGGGTGTGTCTACACTGCTGTTAGACACCTACAACTGGCCTGTGTCCGCGGACTTGGGGCTGTGTGTGGGAGGTGAGGGGGGCTGTTTAATTGTGGTGTAGACAGTGAGCAGGGAAGGTCTCAGAGCCCATGGCAATTTTGAAGCCCTGCAGCCCCAGTCAGCGGCCTCGGGCCAGCCGCACATGTCTAGTGCCGT